TCTAACTCACAAAAAAAGACCAGACTTACTGGCTTGACAGAGACTGGAGAAACCCCGAGAGTAAGGCCCCTGGACACCCTTTTAGCTCAGTAATGAAGTCACTCCTGAGATTCACCCTTCAGCCAAAGATTAGACAGGCCCATAAAACAAAATGAGACTAATGGGGCACATCAGCCCAGGGACAAGGACTAGAAGGCAGGAGTGGACAGGAAAGCTGGTAATAGGGAGCCCAAGGTCAAGAAGGGACAGTGATGACATGTCGTGGGGTTGTTAACCATTGTCATAAAACAATATGTGTACTAACTGTTTAATGAGAAACTGTTCTGTAAACTGTCATCTAAAGTATAATAAAAAAAATTGAAAAAGGAGGTTGGTTTTGAAACTGTAAATATGACCCTGTTTGGAAAGAGGGGGGTTTCTTTTGTTATGTTAATGACAAGGGCAGACTAACCAGTAAGTGAGGCATACATGGGCTTACATTAAGCAACGGGCTTATTTGTGTTTGTACTAATCTGCAGTGCACAATTTCACATGGTTTCACCCTATCTTTGATGTGGTGAAAAACAGGTGAAATTGTGCACTACAAATTAGTAAGTAAGCACAAGTAAGCCTGTGCATACCTTGCTTATTGGGTAATCATCCCTGGTTAATAGGGTCATACCAGTGTACAGTGGATCCTAAACCTAATCACTTCTGAGTTATCAAAAGACCAGAAGAGACACACAGACACACACAGGAGAAGACAGACGCCACGTGAGGATCCTCTACCAGCAAAGGAATGCCAAGGAACCAAGGAATACCTGGGGTGGGTTATCAACAAGGAAGAAAGTGACACTGACACCCTGATGTGGACTTTCAGGCACCAGAACTGTGAGAAAATACATTTCTATTCTTTAAAGTCACACACTTTTGGTATTTCTGTTACGGCAGCACTAGGTAACTAAGACAGGTATCCTATCCCGGTGAGGCCCACTGTTGTCACTGTCCATACCTCCTTAAAGAAACTTGCCCCACCCACAGGTCCTGCTGTCTAGACAGACATCTGACACCCACCCCACCAGCAGGCAGGGTGGACGAGGCCTCCAGAGGGCTCTCAATCCAAGCTCAGACTGGCTACCAACCTATGCCCCCCGGGTTGAAAAGATGGGTGGAGCCTATCAAATTAGGTCAGGAGTATGAGCTAACAAACACAGAAAGGTTCACCAACAGCAGCAGGACAGAGAAGCCGGAATGAGCAGTGTCACCCAGTCACCTTAAAGATGGAGAACCAGTGAGAAGATTCCTAACACTCGGTGCTGAGGTCTGTAGAGCAGCCAGCAATCCATTTCTGCCTTCTGCTACTGGTCCTCCAAGGCCAGCCCTATTCTAGGGTCCTTTCTTGGATTCCCATGGGATTCATACCCCTTGTGTGGCTTCAGGAGGATCATCACTACACACACCCTCTACTTGAGCTAACCGGAGTGGCTCTCTTTTCCTGACCATGAAATGGGCCTTGACTAAAACACATAAAAGTCAGAGACAGGGACCAGGGTCCTCAGAAGAAGAAAGCTTGGTTGTTGCCTCAGCTTGTGAGATGATGGGCCAAGTTCAACTTTTGTTCTTTTCCCCAAAGCTAAACAGTTTCACCCTCCCCAAGGCCCAGTCAGGTGTTCTGCAGGGCCCCATCTTTTGTTCTGGCACTTCTTAGAGCTGAGAAAGGGATAAGACCTGGAACAGAAGAGATGAGAGTCCTCCTGCCTGTCCTCCTCCTTCTCCATCCACCTAACATGGTGAAGGATGGATGCCAGTCCAATCAATCCAGTCCTTTCTTGGGAAGAGGCAAGAGGAACCCAGGAATAATCATAACGTAATGGCATGATGAGTTGGAGCCCCTTCATGGCTGGGGTGGTTTTCTGACTGTTTCTTAGTTACGATGGACAGCTACTAAATTTAGGTCCCTGGGACAAAAAAAGGAAGTTTCTAGAGCAATGTGAGCAATTGAAAATAAAATCATTTGCTTGCTGAACAGTCAGGACAATCCCCTTAAATGCTAACTGCCCTAAAGGAGCTTTGGGATGAGCAGTGCTGAGGACGCCATCCCTGACGTGTCTCCATGAAGGGCTTCAGACCACATCCTCCTCCAGGAGGGCACAGAAGATGCTGTGAGCAAAGACCAATCCGACCCTGAGGGAACCCTCGCCTTGGAGCCAGCCACTATTTGACATCTTAGGTGTCATCAGCAACACATACCACTCTCCTTTATTTTAACCTTTTTGGAAACATAAAATATATATTAGGACATGAAATAACAGGTTTACAGCTTGATGAATTTTCACAAACTGAACACCTCTATGAAACCAGAGCATTAATTTACCAGCACCCCAGAAGGCCCCTGCACCCGCTTTCAGTCACTACTACCCCCCACTATCCTAGCCTCTAATGGCATAGATAGGAGTCCCTGGGTGGTGCAAATGGTTAAGCACCCAACTACCAGCCAAATGGTTGGTGGTTTGAACTCACTCAGAGGCACCTAGGAGGAAAGGCCTGGCTATCTGCTTCTGAAAGGCCACAGCCTTGAACACCCTATGGAGGAGTTCTACTCTGCAGACATGGGGCCGCCATGAGTCAGAATCAACTTGATGACAGCTAATCACAACAATGGCATAGATTCGTTCTGCCTCTTGGTATTCTTTTCATAAAAAATTTTATTGTAGTAAAATATATATAACAAAAGTTTCCCATCTTAATCATTTTTTTAGTGCACATTTCAGTGACATTAATTATACTCACTGTGTAGCAACATCCTTTTTACTCCACAACTTAGCATTTTTGTGCTTGATGCTGAACATGGCTATACTAATTGCCATCAAGTTGATTCTGACCCACAGCAACCCTATAAGACAGAGTAGAACTTCCCCACAGGGTTTCCAAGGAGCAGCTGGTGGATTTGAACTGCCAACCTTTTGGTTAGCAGGTGAATGCTTAACCACTGGGCCACCAGAGCTCTGAACATGGCTATAGTGGACATTTTTTTGGGGGGAAGCACATCCCATCCCTGGCTGCTCCTTAAAGGTAATTACCCTGTTGTGGGTTATCTTGCTGGAGCCTGTACCCCATCCCCCACTATGGTCAACTGGGCACTGAAAATGTCCAGGCTCTCCTCTCCACCCTTAGAGGTCAGAGCATGGGCCCGTGACACAACACAGCCTATTAGACCATAGAACTGAGGCTTTGAATCAGGATCAAATGACACAAAGGCACAGGGGGAGTGAGGATTGATTCCAGGCAGCAGTGGGGAATGCCAGTGAGGAGCGGCAGGCGCGGCCAGCCCCTGGCCAGATGGTCCTAGGTTCTGCATTTCCTTGCTCCCCTTAGCTCTTGTCTGGTTTCTGAGTGTTGTCCTCGAGCCTGCTCTGGGTTCTGTGAGCTCCTGATAGGCTTCTACTAACTCTTCGTCTGCTGAAGAGGGCCAGACTTGGTTTGTCACCACTGAAAGCATCAGTTGAGGTGGGGTTCTCAGGAAGCAGAACCCAAGACGAGGCTGTGAATGCAAGTAGTCTATCTGGGAGCTGACACCAGGGAGCAGGCAAGTGGGGAAGAGAGACAGAGAAAGGAAGGAAGCCCACTAGGACTGTATTCTTGAGTTGGTGATTGCTGTGGGCA